TGACTTTGAACAGGCCTCTGGTATGAATGCCTCTGACCAAACAGAGAAACAGTAAAAACTGTGGGTGAGCCAAGCAAGAGGGCAGCCTGAGGGTCTGACATCCTCTGTGTATGATTATACCGAATCCAGACCCACACCAGACTGTTGGTATCTGACATGTGTTTATAAGGATGCACTCCAATCATGATTTTGATGCATCACAGTGAGCAAGTCTTCTTTTCTGTTCTGTGTGAAAAAACATACCATCTTTAAATTCCAGGTTATTATACAAACCAGGACATCATAAAAATAATCAGATCTATAGCGTGTCCTAAAGGTTTGCCAGCTAGATGAACAGTAACACATGACATATTAAACTAAGTACACCCATACTGTCACCTTAGGAATTAAGAGGGTATGCAGCAGCCAGGTGCTACTTGATTAATTGATCATTAGTGGCACTCTTCTTCTCTATACAACATGCCCCATTCACCTCTTCACATCCATTCATACAAGCAGTTTTTTCAATGCTTTCCATCTAACATTCACACATATTCACATTTTGGATGCATCAGAGATCAACTTGACGTTAGTATTTTCCCCAGGGATATTTGGCATGCAGATGGGAGGAGCCAAGGATTGAACCCTACCCTTCTGATTAGTAGATGACCCGCTCCAACTTGTGAGCTACAGAACTCCCTCTGAGACTACTTCTCAAAGGGAGGCCCAGTCAAAGAGCAGACCTAACTGAACTGCACTCATCAGACCTTAGGAGAGCTGAGCATAAATGAATGAAGTAAAGCTGTAAAGTAGAGTGGCCCTAAGTTCATCCACAATGATGTAAAAATCTGATCAAATCATACAGGACTACTTAAAGTGACTTCAAGTTCTTTCTACTAAACATAGTAGAAAGAATATAAAATGTTACAACTAAGTTAGTCCACTTTATTTCTTTTTATCATGAGTTAGTTCTTATATATCACTTTTCAAAGCACTTCACAACATGCCTCATTGAAACGAGCACTTTTTAAAGGAGCTTTCTGTCCAACTTGGGGTCCTATATCTTGCCCAAGGACACTTTGGCATGCAAACTGGGCAGCTAGCGATCCAATGACAGGGAAAGAAAAACATTTAACTTAGGCGTTTCTCTTGGCTTTAATTGACCCGAGCAGTGGATTAACTTTTACACACGTATCCAATTTTTTTTGAACGGCAGTAATAAAGTAATTTCATTTTCAGTTGGCTCCTCGTTCCAGCAGATGTCTTGTTTAATTACTGACTCTAACTACACACTGTGGAGTATTTTAGAGCAGTGTGAAACTCTCACTGAGGACAGATTGCAGTTTCTAAGCACAGAAAAAAAAAACTTGCGTATACAACTTAATCAGATTATGTGAAAACTGTGAGAATGTACTATTGCACCAGCCTTTCTGCCTGTCTTACAAAAAAACGTAGTGTTTTATTACAGTGTGCAGATGTCACCATGAAGGTTTGTTACACGCACAGACATATACATATACACTACCAATCGAAAGAACTCCCCTATTTGTCCAGTTATTTATTGAAATTCAAGTCATTCAAGTACATTCAAGGTAGGTGAACTACTAGAGGTTAAAAAAAAGGTAAGGTTAACCAAAACTGAAACATAATGTATATTTCAGAATTATACAAAAAGGCCTTTTTCAGGGAACAAAACCTGGGTTAACAATTTAAAGCTGTTCTGCAGCAATGGCGGTTCATGAAGCTTTGAAAGCTGGTGTGAGTGATTCCTACAGGTGTTCCAACTTTTCTGGATTAATTACAACC